AGCAGCAGCAGCAGCAGCAGCAGCAGCAGCAGCAGCAACAACAGCACCAACAACAGCAACCGCCACCGTGCAAAGCCACGCCCACGCACACGCGTCACACACACTGCCACTCACATTTACACAGTCACAGTCACAGTCATACGCACAAGCACCAACTACCCCCACCGAGGCAGAGACGGGGTTCTTCAAGCATCGCCTTGGGTCAAGGTTAGTCGATCTTCGTCGAATATCGTTTCAAGGGTTATATCGATATGGTTTCTCCATATATCGGTGCTATAAATATCGAGACGGATCGAACGAGATGTTACATTATGATCTCGAAAGAATCTTGAATTTACTTGGTTCGATGTTTACGCGTTCGGCGAGTTAAAAATAAGATTGTTCGATGCGTAGGAGGTGACCACCCTGAGAGTATCCTGTGGAGATTCGACTGCGACCTGGCTGGTGAGCCAGATGTGGTGATATCGCCGCCTCCGCCACCACCGCCACCCTCCGCGGCCGTATCGAGAACCACGACCCTTTGACCAATACTTGAAGAGGTGCCGACAGGTGTGCCCGCTCAGAAGGAGCTGCCCACCCAGGCATCGGTGGTCGTGAACGCGGTCGACCAAAAGGAGACCTGCTTATAGCATATGTAGTCGCCGGGGTGGCTGAGTCGACCGCAACGCGGCCTGCCCTGCGCCATCGGCGACCTTGGATCATCGATCGAGCAGCTGTCCACGTGACGATACACGCAGTTTTTTCTCGAACGAGATCCGTGAACGTGTCGCGATCCGTGTGCCGAACCTGCTCCGAATAAACATCGGCAAATCGTGTCCGAGGACCACTCGAAGGGCGAGGTTCGCTCGCGAGACGAGCATCGACCATTTTCGATTAAAACGTTCAATGTAGAATGCTCTTTAGAGGGATGACAACTACAGCGTGCATTAAAAACCGAACGAGCCATCTGTCACCACCGATGATCAACGGTCAAAAGTGGATACGACGATGAAACGGAATCGATCGTATAGGCTTTGGAAATGTGTCACCCTGTGAGCGTAAAGTGCGCAAGAGGAACTGAATAGCGAATGAAACACCGCGTGTAACGCCAATCAATCGAGAAACGATCGCGTGTCCCCGAGAACGAGAACTTTCGAGGCTGACGGCAGCGAACGGAAACTAAACAGTCAACCGAATTGCGTCTACTGCCCACTACGATGAAACTGTACGACGTTGAACTAGCATTTGTGTCGGTTGCCCGATTTACGGGCTAAAAACATATCGAGATGGAAACCGAAAATAGATTCGACGGTTCGAGTTTTGGTCAGTAAACTAAACTATAGATGGTACGGGCGAAGTTGATATACGAGAGACGAGGAGATGATTATCCTCGACCCACTGTAATCTACTGTATCGTCGGTAACCAATACCTCGTATCAAAAATCTTTCCAAAACTTTTAAATCTCCAAGTTTTCGCGTCTCGTAATTTTCGAATTTCCAATTTCCCAACTTCCCAGATCCGATTACCAGAATTTCCAAGTTTCTAAGTTTCATCCAGACGTTACGTAGATACGATACTACACGGCTGCAGGTGAAGTACGAGCTGATTTTTACGGGTACGAGGTGATTTACAGCTGAATGCCAGACCATTTAAGTAAATATAGTTATCGGCAAGAAGACTCTTTGTCATGCCTGTATTTATTGTATATGTAATAAAGGGAAAAACGCATATGTCAATTGTCACCACTAGATAGTCTCGAATAGGGAGGTTTAATCGTTGGGACTTTAATCGTCCCGACTGCAGCTTCGAAAATATCTTTGGTTATCATCGACCGTCTGGACAAGTGGTCGTATCCTAGAGACCACGCTTCGAGGAGCAAAACGTGTGATTAGACTCGGACCAAACTCATAGTGTTCACTGCCAACAACTAAGCTAATATAGGCGAACGGTTGTAAACAGCTCTGAATCGAACATACGGATCGATTCGCCAAAATTCACGGCCTAAAGAAGATGGTTCCGTGGTTAATCAGCTTCTAGGATTACGGAAGGACCAACGAATTTTAAAACGAAGTTCAATTTCAATCGCGAAGCTATGCACAACGAAGGAAAGCTAACAGGAAGCAATACCTGGACACAGATATTCGACGATCGAGATTAGATAGAGGAAATTTTTATTAACGGAAGTTGAACGAGCTAAAACAGCTGTTACTGCCGTTTCACGATTTATTTCTGACAGGAACACGGCTCGTCGCAGGGAAACGCACGGAAACGCACGAAAACGCACGGAAACGCAGAAAGAATTCGTTCAACTCGTTCGGGACGAAGTACAAAGTTTCGGAAATCGTTATCCAGAGATTAGAATTTCGCGCTCGAACATTTGTTTCCGCGCGAACGATTACGATCAAGGACAGACTGACAGACTGGAAGGACCAGGATTTTTCCAACGTTTTACGACAACTAACTCGCAGCCTCGAAAGATCAACCGCCGGAGTCTCGAGCGGATTCGTAGAACAATTTATCGATTCGCCGGCGTTTTGTATCATAAACGCGGTTGCACACGACGATGATTTACGCGCTAAACACGCCTCATCGGACGATTGTATAAAAATCACGTGTTCGTGCGTATATCGTATAGTTTACAATAACTTAATTTTCTCGTAAGTAAGTGCGTAGTCCCGTAAGAGACTTAGTCATATTTTGACACGATCGACGATTTACTATCGAATTAAAAACAAAATACGATATACATATAGGTTGTATATACAGCGACTGTTTTTTCACCAAGTTCGAAGAGGCGACGCGTTAAACAGAGCATTTTTAGCGTCGCGTTGTTCAATAGCCGTTCATAGCCGAGTTTTTCTTAGAAGCGCTCGTTTATCGAACGGCTATTATACCGTGTACAGGTACGTACAGATACACAAATACATACACACGCGCGCGCGCACCAAAACAACGATATTTGTTAAATGAAAAGAAAGATATAGGAAGGAGATAACGTTGAGATTATTAACGCATTGACTGTCGAACAGAAAATTTGTTGCCTCGTCGAGGAAAATCTATTTATATAATGATTTATCAAAAACTTTCCCGTTTTTTATTTAATAGACAATTTTAACATGATAGCTGCCGATTGACCATCGCCTCGAAGTAGATACAATTGAATCCTTGCTTTAAAGTGGAATGGAATCTTTGAAAAAATGATACAAGTAGAATTTAGTTGATACGAAGCACGCGATGTGGAAAGAAGAACTGTTACCGACTTAAATACGTGTTGGTACGATGCGTTCGTGGTATTGTTGGCTATTATTTCAGCAAGATTGGTAACGTTACACGTTAGAATCTTTCGTAAACATAATAATATTTGGTAACAGAAGTTGGAAATTTTTCAAAAATAAATTATACCTGGTGCGACAGTGAACGCGTTAACCCTTTCGCTACATCTTCTATAAGCAATTCGTTAATTATTTATTTTGAAACTTTCAGAAAACATCTCTAGATCGCTATCGTTATTTAATAGTAATTCGGTATCTCGAGCCGTACACATAGTACGTATTTCTAATTTTTACCATTCGTTCTTGATCTCTGCCGATGCATATATGTATACGTGATAAGCAGCGAAAGGGTTAAGATCGTAATTAATAAGCCCGTGGGAGAATGAGTGAGAACGACGAGTGTTTGATAAAA